AAACTTATGCAATTTCTGAAAAGTTACACATTTTGTGAAAAATTTTCTTTCATAAAATTTATATCTTTTGTTAAAACTTACACATTTTCATGAAAATACTTACACATTTTGTCAAAACTTACACCTTTTGTGAAATATTTTTTTTTTAAAATTTACAAGTTTTGTTAAAACTTACACTTTTTTTGAAAAACAAAACTTATACCTTTTGTGAAGTTACTTATATCTTTTGTGAAAAAAACTTATACCATTTCTGAAAAGTTACACATTTTGCGAAAAATTTTCTTTTATAAAATTTACACCTTTTGTCAAAACTTACACTTTTTTGTGAAAATACTTACACTTTTTGTCAAAACTTACACCTTTTGTGAAATATTTTTTTTTCTAAAATTTACACCTTTTGTTAGAACTTACACTTTTTCTGAAAACGAAACTTACACCTTTTGTGAAATTACTTATATCTTTTGTGAAAAAATTTATACCATTGCTGAAAAGTTACACATTTTGTGAAAAATTTTATTTCATAAAATTTACACATTTTGTTAAAACTAACACTTTTTCTTAAAGCATACACCTTTTTCGTGAAAATACTTACATCTTTTGTTAAAAGGTCTAAATATGTTTACGAAAAGGTGTAAGGTTTCACAAAACGTGTAAATTTTATGAAAAAAATCATTTTCACAAAAGGTGTAACTTTTTAGAAAATGTGCATGCTTGTTCACAAAAAGTATAAGTAACTTCACAAAAGGTGTAAAATTTGTTTTCACAAAAGGTGTAAGTTCCAACAAAATGTGTAAATTTTATGAAAAAAAGTATTTCACAAAAGGTGTAAGTTTTGACAAAAGGTGTAAGTCTTTTCACGAAAAGGTGTAAGTTTTCACAAAATGTATAGTTTTTAACAAAATGTGTAGATTTTATGAAAGAAATTTTTTCACAAAAGATGTAACTTTTCAGAAAAAAAAAAGTGTAAGTTTTTTCACAAAAGATGTAAGTAACTTTACAAAAGGTGTAAGTTCCAACAAAAGGCGTAAATTTTATGAAACAAATATTTCACAAAATGTGTAACTTTTCACAAAAGTTGTAAGTATTTTCACGAAAAAATGTAAGTTTTCACAAAAGGTGTAGGTTTTAACAAAAGGTGTAAATTTTATGAAAGAAAATTTTTCACAAAAGGTGTAACTTTTCAGAAATGGTGTAAGTTGTTTCACAAAAGATATAAGTAACTTCACAAAAGGTGTTAGTTTCGTTTTCACAAAAAGTGTAAATTCTAACAAAAAGTGTAAATTTTAGGGAAGAAAATATTTCACAAAATGTGTAACTTTTGACAAAAGGTGTAATATTTTCATGAAAAGGTGTAAGTTTTCAGAAAATGTGTAAGTTTTAAGAAAATGTATAAATTTTATGAAAGAAATTACTTCACAAAAGGTATAACTTTTCAAAAAAGTGTATGTTTTGTCACAAAAGGTGTTAGTATTTCACAGAAGATGTAAGTTTTGTTTTCACAAAATGTGTAAGGTCCAACAAAATGTGTAAATTTTATAAAAAAATATATTTCATAAAAGGTGTAACTTTTGACAAAAGGTGTAAGTATTTTTACGAAAAGGTGTAGGTTTTAACAAAATGCATAAATTTTATGAAAGAAAATTTTTCACAAAAGGTGTAACTTTTCAGAAAATGTATAAGTTTTTTCACAAAAGATGTTAGTAACTTCACAAAAGGTGTAAGTTCCAAAAAATGTGTAAATTTTATGAAATAAATTATTTCACAAAAAGTGTAACATTTGACAAAAGGTGTAACTTTTGACAAAATGTGTAAGTATTTTTACGAAAAGGTTTAAGTTTTCACAAAATGTGTTAATTTTATGAAAGAAAATTTTTCCCAAAAGGTGTAACGTTTCAGAAATGGTGTAAGTTTTTTCACAAAATGTGTAAGTTTTGTTTTCACAAAAGGTGTAAGTTCCAACAAAAGGTGTACATTTTATAAAAGAAATTATTTCACAAAATGTGTAACTTTTGACGAAAAGTATAAGTATTTTCACGGAAAGGTATAAGTTTTCACAAAACATGTAAATTTTATGCAAGAAAATTTTTCACAAAAGGTGTAACGTTTTAGAAAAGGTGTAAGTTTTTTCATAAAAGGTTTAAGTTTTGTTTTCACAAGAGGTGTAAGTTCCAACAGAAGGTGTAACTTTTTTCACAAAAGGTGTAAGTTTTCGCAAAAGGTGTAACGTTTTAGAAAATGTGTAAGTTTTTTCAGAAAAAGGTATAAGTAATTTCACAAAGGTGTAAGTTTTGTTTTCACAAAAAGTTAAGTTCCAACAAAAAGTGTAAATTTTATGAAATAAATTATTTTACAAAAGGTGTAACTCTTCACAAAAGGTATAAGTATTTTCACGAAAATATGTAAATTTTCACAAAAGGTGTAACGTTTCAAAAAAGGTGTAAGTTTTTTCACAAGAGGTGTAAGTAATTTTATAAAAAGTGTAAGTTCCAACAAAAGGTATAAATTTTATGAAAGAAATTATTTCATAAAAGGTGTAAGTTTTTACAAAATGTGTAAATTTTATGAAAGAAAAATTTTCAGAAAATGCGTAATGTTTCAGAAAAGGTTTAAGTTTTGTCACAAAAAGTGTAAGTAATTTTACAAAAGGTGTAAGTTTTAACAAAAAGTGTAAATTTTATGAAATAAATTATTTCACAAAAGGTGTAAGTTTTTTAACAAAATGTGTAAATTTTCACAAAAGATGTAAGTTTCAACAAAAGTTGTAAATTTTATGAAAGAAATTTTTTCACAAAAGGTGTAACGTTTCAGAAAATGTGTAAGTTTTCTCACAAAAGGTGTAAGTAATTTCACAAAAGGTGTAAGTTTTGTTTTCACAAAAGGTGTAAGTTCTTACAAAAGGTGTAAATTTTATGAAATAAATTATTTCACAAAAGGTGTAACTTTTCACAAGAGGTGTAAGTTTTCACAATAGGTGTAAGTTTTAACAAAATCTGTGAATTTTAAGAAAGAAAATTTTTACAAAAGGTGTAACGTTAAAATGTGTAAGTTTTTTCACAAAAGGTGTAAGTTTGTCCAACAAAATGAGTAAATTTTATGAAAGAAATTATTTCACAAAAGGTGTAACTTTTCACAAAATGTGCAAGTATTTTCACGAAAATGTGTAAATTTTATGAAAGAAATTTTTTCACAAAAAGGTGTAAAGTTTTAGAAAAGGTGTAAGTAATTTCACAAAAGGTGTAAGTTCCAACAAAAAATGTAAATTTTAGAAAATGAATTATTTCACAAAAGGTGTAACTTTTCACAAAAAGTGTAAGTATTTTCACGAAAAGGTGTAAGTTTTAACAAAAAGAGTAAATTTTATAAAAAAAAAAATTTCCACAAAAGGTGTAAGTTCCAACAAAAGGTGTAAATTTTATGAAATAAATTATTTCACAAAATGTGTAACTTTTCACAAAAGGTGTAAGTATTTTCACAGAAAGGTGTAAGTTTTCACAAAAGGTGTAAATTTAATGAAAGAAATTTTTTCATAAAGGTGTAACGTTTTAGAAAAGGTGTATGTTTTTTCACAAAATGTGCAAATAATTTTACAAAAGGTGTAAGTTTTGTTTTCACAAAAAGTGTAAACAAAAGGTGTAAATTTTATTAAATAAATTATTTCACAAAATGTGTAAGTATTTTCACGAAAACGTGTAAATTTTCACAAAAGGTGTTAATTTTATGAAATAAAATTTTTCACAAAAGGTGTAACGTTTCCGAAAAGGTGTAAGTAATTTCACAAAAGATATAATTTTTGTTTTCACAAATAGTGTAAGTTCTAACAAAATGTGTAAATTTTATGAAAGAAATTATTTCACAAAAGGTGTAACTCTTCACAAAAGGTGTAAGTATTTTCATGAAAATGTGTAGGTTTTGACAAAATGTGTAAATTTTATGAAAGAAAAATTTTCACAAAAGGTGTAACGTTTCAGAGAATGTGTAAGTTTTTTCACAAAAGGTGGAAGTAATTTCACAAAAGGTGTAAGTTTTGTTTTCACAAAAGATGTAAGTTCAAACAAAAGTTGTAAATTTTATGAAAGAAATTATTTCGCAAAAGATATAACTTTTCACAAAAGGTGTAAGTAATTTCACAAATTACACTTTTGGCAACCAAAAGGAATTTAGTCGCCAAAAGTTATATTTTTGGTGACTAAAAAATTTATTAGTCGGCGTTGGTTCAATGTTTTGCTACTATATTATTTTAGTCGATATATATTATTTATTGGCGACTAAAAAATGAATTTAGTCACTACATATGATGCAAATAGGCAACTAAAGAATTTTTAGTTAGCATAAGTCTAAATTTTAGGCTACTAATTCTTATTTTAGTCGTCGTACACAATTATTTGCCAACAAAAGGAAGTTAAGTCGCCAAATAAGTAGCTCATTTTTCGGTTACTCTTTGCTAACCAAATAATTTTGTCGGCAAATATAAATTTTTGGTGACTAAAAAAAGTTAGTCGTTGTATGTTCATTTTTTGCAGTGGACAAAAAAAATTAATAGCCAAATTATACTTTTAGCTACAAAAGATTAGTTATTATTGATTAATATTTATCGACAAATAATAGTTTAGTTGCTAAAGGTTGAACATTTTATTACCACCAGTGCCTCTCTACTCTGTTTCACACCAACTCTTTCTCTGTTCTCTCTCATACACACAGAGAACAGTCATCACCAAACCTCACTCTCGCTTACCACCCAACCATCTCTGGCCACCGTTGCTCACCGCCGTTATTCGCTACCGTCGTACATCGCCACCGCCACCGCCGTAAATCACTACCACCGTTGCTGCAAATCATAGGTTTTTTTTTCTTTCTCTCTCTATCTCTTTCTCTCTCTCTGTGTCGATCTTGGTCTCTCTCTATCAATTTCTGTCTTTTCTCTGTCGATCTTTGTCGATCTCGGTTTCTCTCTCTGTTCATCTTGGTCTCTCTCTCTCTGTGTCGATCTCTATCAATTTTGGTCTCTCTCTGTCTCTCTCTATCGATCTCAGTCTCTCTCTCTCTGTCGATTTCTGTCAATTTTGGTCTCTCTCTCTGTCGATCTCTCTCTGTCGATCCCTGTTTGTCTCGGTCTCTCTCTCTGTCTGTCTCTCTCTCCCTTCCTCTATATTAAGAAAAGGTTCTCTTTTACATTCAGATACGTGGTTGGATTTGGACTTGGACTGGTTATTCCAAGCCTTCCCAAACGCCTCTTCTCTCTCCGAAATTGTAGAGAGAGAAACACCAAGCCCTCACAAACATCTCTTTTCTCTCACATTGCCATTATTTGAACAACACAAATACAGTTTGATTCGATTTTAGGAGCTTTTCACAATTTTCGCTCCTCTCTCTCTACTCGAAAGCATCAACAGATTTGGACTTGGGTAACTTCTTGGCTCCAATTCGATCAAGTTTGATATCTTCTTCTCTCTTTTTGATCTGGGTTTGCTTCAATTCCGAATTGTGGTGATTGATCAATTGTTTCAGATCTGGGTTTGACTCGTTCTCTTGTTTTTGGATCTCAATTTTGTTGTTTTAACACAGATTGAGCTCCGAATCTATCTGAATTCAGGTTTTATGTTGTTAGATTAGCTATATTAATCATTTTTGTGATCATTTTCATTCATAGATCGTCTCATTTTTTTGTTTGATATATTAATATGGGAATTAGAATTGTTAATTACTTGAATACAATCTTTTGCAGTTCTGAAATTCTGATTGTTTCAACTTTTAACATAGTTCCTAGATGTTGGTTTTTGCCTTTGTAGATTTCTAAATGCAATACGTTTCTTTATGCCATTTCATTGGATTTTGATAGGCCGGAATAGGTTGCTTTATACTGGAACAATTGAATTTTTGCATATCATTTTTCAAAGTTTGCTAGTTGCTGCTAGTTGTGTGAATGTAGCTGCAAATTGGGAAATTTTGTAGTGAAACAAGAGGTGGTGATCTTCCCTGCTACATCTCACTAGATATTTAATTGTGATCTCTTTTAGAATATCTATTACTACATCCATTAAACCACTAACTAATGTAGATATGTAACCATAAATCAAAAGTCCACAAGTCATTGAATTTTAAAAAAAACAATTTAGTACATCAAACCATTTGGTCCTAGTGAGTTTTTGGATTTGTAGCCTTTCGGTTATTTAAGAATTCAATTACTTAGCCATCGGTGGAGTTGAGCATTAAGAACTTGATAACTCTTCAATCTGTCTACCTGAACTGAGCTTCATGTTACATGAAGGTGCAGCTTGGAAGTGATTCTGTTTTAAAGGTACAATTATGCTAGTCCAATTATGAATTGAGATCAAGATGCATAAGTATAGCTGTTTTAAAATTGAACTTCAGGATGAATGAGCAACTATTCTTTGAAATTTAGGATTGATGAACCCTTTCCCCCTTTTCTTTCAATGTGGAAAACAACTTTGGTCTCTCTATTTGTCATTGAACTTAAAAGTGCCACTATATGGTTGTGATTGTTATATGCTTATGCTCTTTTGGTCTCTCTGTTAGAGTTTGAATCAGTAAACTATGTGTTAATATGTTTTGCCCTTGTGTTTGGATGGTGTGGTTTGAACATGTCTATTGATCACTGCTTGAGTGTATTTTTGATGACTGTCCCCTATTGTATTTGAACTATCACCTTTTTGTGATTGTAATTATGAAGCCTCATTTGTTGAAAAATGGTTATTGTAGGCTCAAGTATATATGTAATAAGGAAGGACTAAAGGCAAGTTCCATTGTACTTATTGCACTTGCAGAGTATACCAGTGAGTAATAGCTCCTCCACAAAGGCATATCAACCTTGTGAATAAATTTTTCTTCCCTCCTTGAAGGTTTCTTGAATAAAAAGGCTAGTAGTTATATAGAAAGATAACAAAAATAAGGAAGAAGCATTCAAATGGTAATTAACACTTATAAAAAGACCATAACAAGAGAAAAACTGTCGACAAATAGTGTTTGTTGTTTTTGGCAATGATAATGAAGCATAGTGACAAAAATAAATGAAGAACCCAAATAGTTGAGTCCTCATGAGTGGGACTGTGCCACCATTTTACAACAGGTGAAACTCGTGCAAAGGGTGATGGAATTAGAGTTCTACTCTGAAGTATTATTATCATAGCTTGATTAGAAATCACAAAACAAGCACGTGCCGAAATTATCTTGATCCCAACATCTCTGTAAACCTTTAGTTTTATTAGTCAATGTGGTTCTAAGACATTCGGAAAAATTTATTGAAGTGGAATTATCCTTTATGGAAGGTGGTGAAAGAGACAATTGTACTTGAATCATTCAAGAAAATTACTTGTCTAAATATCAGATTTAGTCATGTGCTATTACTTATGATAAGCATTTATGTTGGCTAAAACCACTTTGGACATCAAGTAATCTTGATGAATTCTTCAAAGGCTTCTAATATTCTTTATGGCGTTGTGCTGCAGAATGTTTCTGAGTTTTATGGCCTTGATATCCGTGTATGCTTCTATTTACAGAGTGTGATATACCCTCATGCTTAAACACTCTTCAGTTTCTCCACAAGAACCTCAATATGGTATGATATTCAGCTGATCATGCTCTAGCATACTTTTTGTTAGTTAATATTGGTAGAACATATATTGCTATGTTATATTCAATTAAGGGTTTGAGGAAGATCAAGTCTTTCTCATGAAAAGTTTCTTGGGATTTTTCTTGATACATGTTTATTTTCTTGATTGATCTCCTGCAAACATAATTTGCATGGTTTATTGGTTCTTAGTTGGAGATTAGTTCTCGGATGGTTGGCCGGAAGGACACCTCAAAAAGAGTTTTTGACACATGGATAGAGGTAAAACAATAATCTGTTAAACTATTTAATTTTCATTTTTGGCATTATCAATTTGCATATAAATTCTTTCTTATTATTACTATTACTATTTTTTTTTTTTGGATAGATTTTTCAAAAGAGAAAAGTAAAACGAGAAAGGAAGTCAACTAGTGGCTGCAGTAGCATCTCCAATGAATTTGACTTTCTGCAGAACATATATTGCTATGTTATATTCAATTAAGGGTTTGAGGAAGATCAAGTCTTTCTCATGAAAAGTTTCTTGGGATTTTTCTTGATACATGTTTATTTTCTTGATTGATCTCCTGCAAACATAATTTGCATGGTTTATTGGTTCTTAGTTAGAGATTAGTTCTCAGATGGTTGGCCGGAAGGACACCTCAAAAAGAGTTTTTGACACATGGATAGAGGTAAAACAATAATCTATTAAACTATTTAATTTTCATTTTTGGCATTATCAATTTGCATATAAATTCTTTCTTATTATTAGTATTACTATTTTTTTTTTGGATAGATTTTTCAAAAGAGAAAAGTAAAACGAGAAAGGAAGTCAACAAGTGGCTGCAGTAGCATCTCCAATGAATTTGACTTTCTGCACTCCATGATTTCTAACCGGTAGGTTAATAACTCCAGTTAAAACTTTCATTTTTTCTTTCATCATTTCTAGTGAAAGGTCATCTATCTTGACTGTTCAATGATTGCCAACTATCCAGCGGTGACTACGATTTAATTTTAGATGGGATCCATGAAAATAGTTTGTAACTTTACTATCATGATCCAGTTATGTGAAAGACTGTAAGTCATAATTGCAATAAAAACCTTTTGTCTACCTTATGACTTCATTCAATCTAGGGAATTAGCTAAATATGTTATTTTGAGATATTTGTCTAACATAAAATGTAAATGAAGGTCAAATGCTTGCATAGTCTTGGTGTTTCCGATTTATTTCATCAATATATTATGCGTACACAATGGATGTCTCTTCAAGGTAAAGCATTGGGCACATATGAACTTTTGGCCTTCCATTATTAAGGATAAATTTAAAGTTAAAATCTTTAATTCCTCATTTTACATTCTGTAGTTTATCAACCCAGTATTGCAATCACTATGTGTAGTCTGGTAGTGCAAAATGAGAAACCAAATATTGAATGGCCAAAGTCTTTCCAGAGGTATTTCTATTTCTCTTAGAAGTTTATGTTTATTGAGAAGAATCAGTATTCTCACAATTGCATGTTGATGTGAACCAACAGATATCGAACGATGTTGATGGAAAAGATGGATATTCTATGGTCTTGGCACAATAAAATATTACCACATATCTCAAGGCATATGTTGACAAAATCTTTTGTAGAAGATACAATATCTTTATTACTGCATATTCTATCACCCCCAACTCTAAGGTCGGTAATTTACCTATATTATTTCTTTGTCTTCCTTTTGTGTTTAGCTGTGCCTGCATTGTTGCTTTCCTTTTATTTTCATATGATGTATAACACTAATTATAATGAATTCCATATCACCCTTGCCCATGAGAGGCACATTTCTTTTGTGCCGATCCATACCCCCATCCAAACCGGGCACTCTATGACCTTGTTTAGCCCCATTGTTGCAATTAGGTAAGAGGTTGATCCAACAATTGGGTTGGGAAACCTATAATTCAAAAGATTTATTTTTTTGATAAGTGAAATTTATTAAGAAGAACACCAGAAAAGGGGATTCAACCATACACAAAGAAGAAAACAAGCATTTTGCCTCAACTAAGCACCCCAAAAGAGGGCTTACATGAAAATAGAGATACTAGAAGGAAATCAATCTATACACATTCCATCACTCAAATCAATCTATATACACATTCCTTTACTTACTGGCCTTTTCTTGTTTTCTTTCTTTCTTTTTAGAATGATGAAAAACTTTGGATTTTCTTAATGGTATGGTCTGAAACAGTATGCTGTCTTTTTCTTCAAGTGGCAGTGCACTTACTATCAGAGAAAGAGAAGAATGATATCGCTTAGTTAGTGAATACAATGGTTTCCCGTTGTATTACATATAAAAACCTGAAATCTGATCCTCTATCCAGTACCTCAAGACATGATGCAGTTTCAGATACTTCAATGCTTTCATTTGATCCTCCAATTGGTGACTTAATAAAGTTCAAGGTTAGTGTTGTTGCTTTTGTGCAATCAAATCTGATACAGACCAATAAACTAGCTTCATCTTGACAAATAGGACTTGTGACAATTGACGGAATGTAATTAGGACGCGTAGGCTTGGAGTTAGACCCGAAAACGCCTTAAACTTAGTTGAAAAAGGGCATTTCGGTGTCGAAAATTCAAAACAGCCCCCGAACCACCGTGTGGCTCTCACGGATAGCTTCCCCTGACAAATAGGACTTGTGACAACAGACGACACGTAATTCGGACCCATAGGTTGGGAGTTAGAGCCGAATACGCCTTAAACTTAATTGAAAGAGGGCATTGCGGGGGCAAAAATTCAAAACTGCTCCTGAACCACCATGTGGCTCTCACGAACAGCTTCCCTTTGAAAAATAGGACTTGTGACAACTGTCAGAATGTAATTAGAACGCGTAGGCTTGGAGTTAGACCCGAAAATGCCTTAAACTTAGACGAAAAAGGGCGTTTCGGGATCGAAAATTCAAAACAGCCCCAAAACCACTGTGTGGCTGTCACAGATAGCTTCCCCTTGACAAATAGGAATTGTGACAACTAAATGTAATTAGGATGCGTAGGCTTGGAGTTAGACTCGAAAACGCCTTAAACTTAGTCGAAAAAGTGCATTTTGGGGTCAAAAATTCAAAACAGGCCACGAACCACCGTGTGGATCTCACGAACAACTTTTCCTTGACAAATAGGACTTGTGACGACTGACGGCATGTAATTCGGACCCATAGGTTGGGAGTTAGAGCCGAATACGCCTTAAATTTAGTCGAAAGAGGGCGTTCCGAGGGCAAAAATTTTAAAAAGCCCCCGAACCACCGTATGACTCTCACGGAAAGCTTCCCCTTGACAAATAGGACTTGTGACAACTGACGGTATGTAATTTGGACCCATAGGTTGGGAGTTAGAGCCGAATACGCCTTAAACTTAGTCAAAAGACGGCGTTCTGGGGGCAAAAATTCAAAACAGCCCCTGAACCACCGTGTGGATCACATGGACAGCTTTCCCTTGACAAATAGGACTTGTGACAACTGTCGGAATGTAATTAGGACGCGTAGGCTTGGAGTTAGACCTGAAAATGCCTTAAACTTAGTCGAAAAGGGCATTTCGGGGTCGAAAATTCAAAACAACCCCAGAACCACCATGTGGCTATCTCGGACAGCTTCCCCTTGACAAATAGAACATGTGACAACTGATGAAATGTAATTAGGATACGTAGGCTTGGAGTTAGACCCGAAAACGCCTTAAACTTAGTCGAACAACGGCGTTTCAGGGTCGAAAATTCAAAACACCCCCCGAACCACCATGTGGCTCTCACAGACAACTTCCCCTTGATAAATAGGACTTGTGACAACTGACGGCGTGTAATTTAGACCCATAGGTTGGGAGTTAGAGCCGAATACACCTTAAACTTAGTCGAAAGATGGCATTCTGAGGGCGAAAATTCAAAACAGCCCCCGAACCACAGTGTGGATCTCATGTACAGCTTCTTCTTGACAAATAGGACTTGTGACAACTGTTGGAATGTAATTAGGATGCATAAGCTTGGAGTTAGACCCAAAAATGCCTTAAACTTAGTCGAAAAAGGGCGCTTCGGGGTCGAAAATTCAAAACAGTACTAGAACCACCATGTGGCTATCTCGGACAGCTTCCTTTTGACAAATAGGACTTGTGACAACTGATGGAATGTAATTAGGATGCGTAGGCTTGGAGTTAGACCCGGAAACGCCTTAAACTTTGTCGAAAAAGGGCGTTTCAAGGTTGAAAATTCAAAACACCCCCCGAACCACCATGTGACTCTCGCGAACAGCTTCCTTTTGACAAATAGGACTTGTGACAACTAATGGCATGTAATTCGGACCCATAGGTTGGGAGTTAGAGCCAAAAACACCTTAAACTTAGTTGAAAAAGGGCGTTCAGGGGGCAAAAATTCAAAACAGCCCCCGAATCATTGTGTGGCTATCACAGACAGCTTCCCCTTGATAAATAGGACTTGTGACAATTGACGGAATGTAAATAGGACGCGTAGGCTTGGAGTTAGAGCTGAGAATTAGGAGTAGGCCGCTTCCAAGACTCACCATCAACAATTTGATTGACTTTAGTCTCACTGTTGAGAAAAGAGTCATACAAAATTCTATCTCCAAACTTGGCCCAAAGGGGACCAAAAGGATGCCAGTTATCATACCATAAGAAAGTGGAATCATCATTCCCAATTCTATGGGTTATTAGAGGGGAGACAACAGTCCTAAGGGATAGAATCTTGAAAGACCCAAGAGGGGTCATTAGGGACTTAAACTTTCCAAGAACTTTTGCCTTTGAGTAAATAGGATTTAACCCATTGACAGCACATTGATTTCTCCTCACCTAAAAACAGGAACCAGTTATGCTTAGCAATAGCAGCCCTATTCCAAGTCTCTGGAGACTTAAAGCCTAGGCCACCCTCATTTTTTGGAACACACACCTTATCCCAATCAATTTTAGTACTATGCTTTTTAAGCTCAGTGAAAAACCAGAGAAAAGCTCTGACAATACTCGCAAATTAACTTACTTATTGAAAGAAATTTCTAAATTAGCTTGGCCATATTCTGAAACAAGCACATAGGAATTGTAGGAAAGGTCCAGAAAAATAAAATGAAAGGAAATGAAAAAAGAAAAGAAAAGAAAAATGAGGCAACTATGTTCTGTGAGTTGCACCTATGGTGCCTATCTTTAATTAACATCAAGGCACAAGGATTGATGCAAGGTGCACAATCAGGAACCTACAGATTGCAGACTTTTCCCTGACACAATCTTTTACTTGACAAACTTAAGAGTATCAAAATTACTTTGATTTGTTTTTAACTAATATGTAAATATGTACTCTATGCCTGTCTACAAGAGATTCCAATATGAACTTAATTAAAGAACAATACTTTTTTTTACAAGTAATCATCATATAGATATGTATTTATGTGTGTTTATGAAACAGAAGTGAGACTGCAGGATGGACATTTTTGCTACAACCATTCATTTATTTTTCAAACTTGGACTATCAAAATTGCATTGTTTTGTCTTGCACTAATGTGTCTGTACATATGTCTATTTTTTTCGTGCGAAGTAATTATCATATAATTTATTTATGTATGATAAAAAAAAATATATACATTGGTATTTGGTACACTGTTGAAGTCAGTAACATTCATTTATTTCATTCATTGTTACAATTTGCGGGTAACTAGCCATGAGACTAGCCTTATGGCAAGATGTAGAAGGGTTTATGCTCATGCACATGACTATCATATTAATTCTATTTCAAATAACAGGTGGTTGATCCATAATTTTGAACTTCTATTGACATGTTACTTTCCATTCTAATTGAATTACTCTTCAACTTTTTGTAGTTGTTTTTTGTTTGTTTACTATTTGGGTTGTCTCACGAGCTTAGAGTTTCTAGAATATACTGATAGCATGTTATTTTTCTCTCATTCCACTTTCTTCCTTGATAAGGCAAAATTTATTACCATCCTTTGTTCCTATCAGAAAGAATTTAGAATGTGATCAAAGATTTTTTTTTACAAGTGGTCAAGGATTTAAATTCTACTTGTTTTTCATGATTAGCATTTTTTCCTTTCTGTGTCTTACCTTTTTTTGTGTGTGTGTGAGTCCTGTTTAATTAAGTGCATTTTTATTAATGAAGCCTCTAACTGGAGGTATAGAAAGAGGAAAAGGATAATTGACTGTCTTGGATTGAATTATGAGGATATATCATATATTTTTATGTGTACATACATAGATACATAATTAAATCTCTTTCTAATTGAAGACATGCTCTTTGGCTGTTTGTGTGGGCCTAAACTTTCCATGCAAGTATGATGAAATAAATACATTGTGTTTTAATGATTGCAAGCGTTTTGCATGACAAATTTTCTTATTTGGGAGGGTCTAGAGTATTCAATTTCATATTTTTACTTCGTTAAGGTTGGCTTATACAATAAAATATGCCTATGGAGACAGACAACCTATAATTTGGACATATAGGTTGAAAGTTACAGTAAAATATGCCTTAAACTTTGTCAAAAAAGGGCGTTCGGGGGTGAATATGCGGAACAACCCCTAAACCACTATGGGGATGTCACAAAAAGATTGCTCGTGACAAATATGACCTATGGGGACAAAAGACACGTAATTAGGACACGTAGGTTGGAAGTTAGAGTAAAAAACCCTTAAATTTTGTCAAAAAAGGGCAT